TGGCTTCTTGCGTTTAACGTGATGTTTTTGAGATGTATTCGTGTTGAGATTTATCCATGATTTATCCATCATCCCCCCATCAATAATTTCATTTCTTTTATAGCAGAATAGTATTCTAGTGCATGGATATACCAGTTTGTTTACCCATTCACCTGTTAATGGACGTTTGGGTAGTTTTCAATGTTTGGTTGTTACCAGTAAAGTTCCATGAACAGTCGTGCACGTGACCTTGTATATGTTCATGCTCCTGGGTCGTTACCCACACTGTTTTCCAAGGCGGTTGTGTCACTTTACGTTCCTGCCATCAGGGCACGAGTCTTCACCAGCACTTGCAGTTTGTCAGTCTTTAATTTTAGCTTTTCTAGTGGCTGTGTAGTGGTATTCATGTGTTTTTTTTGTTTTTTTTTGTAGCAGTTTTTTGGGATAAAATTCAGCCAGTGTACAGTTCAGTGGTTTTTAATATAGTCACAGAGCTGTGCAGCTACAACCACAATCAGTTGAAGGCATTCTCATCACCTCAGAACAAAACCTTTGCATCACTGATCCCTCTATGCTGCCCAGCCCAGAGTAGCCCTGCTCTACTTTCTGTCCCCATGGATTTGCCCATTCTGGATGTTTCATGTAAACAGAATCATACAGTATGTGATCTTTGGGCCTGGCTTTTTTCTCATGACCTAATGTTTTCAAGATCCATCCATACGGTAGCCTGTGTCAGAGTTCCATTGCTTATGATCGAGTAGTATTCCGTTGTATGGCTGTCTCACATATATCCATATTGTATACGATATGCAAATATTTTCTTCCATTCTGTAGGTTGTCTTTACACTTCCTTTACAGTTTCCTTTGAAGCAAAAAGATTTTAATTTTGATGAAGTCCAGTTTATTTATTTTTGTTTGTTTCTTGTGCTTTGGTGTCATCTAAGAAACTATTACCAGATCCAAGATCACAAAGATTTACTCTCTTTTCGAAGAATTGTATAGTTTCAGCTCTTACATTAAGGGTTTTGTCCATCTTGAGTTAGTTTTGTGTACGGTGTGAGGTCGGGGTCTCACGTCTTCTTTCTCGTGTGGTTGTCCCACAGTTGTCCCAGCCCCATTTGTTGAAAAGACTTCCGTTGTTCTTTCCCCAGGGACTTGTCTTGACCCTCTTGTCAAAAATCAGTTAACCATAAATGTGAGGATCTCATCTGGTTTTAATTATATTTTCCTGATGTCAAGTGCTGAGCATGTGCTTAGTGAATCTTTGCGTATTGTCTTTGGTTTAAATCCTTTGCCCATTTTTTTTAAATTGGGTTTTTGTCTTCTTAATATTGAGTTGTATGTGATTTTTGTATATTGTACATAATTTCTTTGGTCAGATTCACATATTGTAATTATTTTCTCTCAGTCTGAGACTTGTTTTCTTATTGTGTCTTTCAAACTACACAAATTTTTTGTTTTGTTCAAGTGCAGTTTTTCATTTTCTTCTTTTGTGCTGTATGTTTTAACGTCCTCTCCGAATGTCTCTGCCTCCTTTAGAAGCATGAATTTTTTTCGTGCATTTTCTTTTAGGAGCTTTAGGTTCAGCTTTTGCGTTTAGCTCTGTGATCTGTTTTGAGCTTTTTTTTTTTTTTTCCTTCTTTTTCTTTTTGGTGTGTGTGTACACGTATGGTGTAAGATAAGGAGCTCAGCAGTGTTTGTCTTTCTACAAATTACTCATTATTCAGAAAATATTTTTGAGTGCTTACTCTCTGCCACACATTGGGGTTACAGCTCTAACTAGACAGGCATATTTACTGCCTCCCCGGAACATACTTTTAATGAGGAAGACAAGTTTTGTAAATGCTAGAAAGGTTTTGTAAGGCCCTGGAGGGCACAGGAGGCCCCCTGGGGTGGGTTGCCCTGCTTGGGCAGAGTGCTTTGGGGGGGCCGGGGGGCCGTTGGAGTCAGTGGGGAGCTTTGAGCTGAGGCAAAAAAGACAGCAAAGGAGCTAGTCTTTCCCTGAACTGGGGGACTGTGTCCTGGGAGCAGAAGGTCCGGCCCGAGGCAGGACAACGCCGGAGGGTCAGTGGCTGGAGTCTAGTGAGAAAAGGAAGCTTTGAGACAGAGACCTGCTCCTTCAGGACCTGGGTGAGGGATTAGAATTTTACCCACATCTGTCTTTATCCTAGTACCTCCCCTAAGCATCAGAGCTACTTAAGGGGTTGCCTGCTAGATGGATTTGCTTGGATGAGTCATCTGGGTTTAAATACGTCCAGAACTGAACTCATTCCTAACCGCTTCTAAACTCCATCTTCTGTCTTGGTCTGTGGTGCCGTTTTCCTGCCTGTTGTGTAAGCCAGAACCCTTTGAATCAGGATGCTTAGTTTCCCATTGCTGTCCTGTTAGGAAGAGAGAGCTGGGTCCCACACACACCGCAGAGAGGAAAATCAGCTCGTCTTACAAGGCTTACAGCAACAACACTAGTCCCTTTTAATTCCCAGTTCCTGTTCTCTGGAGGCATCACCTTTCCACTCCTGCAGCTCTTTCTAGAGCTCTGACTTATCTCCGGATTCCTCATTACTGTGGCTCCACTGCTGCCTTGATGTTCGTTTTTGATGTTGTCTAATGACTTTTTGGTGTGGAGGGGAGGCTAGCTTTCTAACTAGCTGCCTTTGGGGGACACACCCCGACATCCCCATGTACATGCATTTACCGCGTGCACATACTCTCCACCCCCCACCCCACGATTCTTAATCCTCTCATTATTCCAGTGTACACGTTCAATTAAATCAGTAGTTTTATTGACGTTATTATGACTGTGAACGTGGTTTTTAGCTGAATCTGAAGATGCACCACAAATACATTTTGGTTCCTGTACGTCTTTGTCCCGCTGGAGCTGGGCCAGGTGTCCTCAGTCCAGTGTGTCTTTGGTCCACGGCATCTGAGAACAGAACCCATCACCTCTGCTCTGCTGGAGGAGCGAGTGGGGTGCAGCAGTTAGGAGTAGAGCTGCTGCTCTTCCGCCCACCCTGGCCTCCCTTGAGGTGCGAGGAGAGGAATCTGGACCCTTCTGGTCGACCCACCGCCCCCAGCTGCAAGGCTGGGGTTTCCTGTTTGTTCTTCAATCCCCCAGATTCTCTCTTACCTGCTCTTTACTTTTGTTGGTTTGTGTCCTTCTGTTTTCCTTTACTGTCATTTGATTGGGGTTTGGCGGGGGGAGGAGAGAGACATGTGCTCAGCCCATCAGCTCTAGCCAGAGGCCAGGGCTGTTCTTACTCCTAAGCGTTGCTCGGTTATGGGTCCCCAGCCCAGCCCCACAGCCTTGCTGAAATCTTTGGCGTCTCCTACCCCACTAGCCCTGGCTGGTCTTGGTGTCCCTGTCCTGGAACTCGTCCCTCAGAGGGACCTGTTCAGGGCCCCTGACAACTTCTCGGGCCCTGGAGCCCTCAGGACGAGGGTGTGATCTTTGTCACTGGTCTCCTGACTCCTGTTCATTCACTTCACTCACGCCGAATGCTGGATGTTTTCCCGAAATTACCACCCTCTTCACTTCGCTGTGCTTTTGTCTCTGCTCTTCCTCCAGACAGAAGACCTGTGTCCTCCCAAGTCTGCATCCTCATCCGGTTCAGCCTGGTGGTGGCCTCCAACCTGCAGCCTTTCCTGACCCTGTCCTGTCACCTGTGCCGTCTGGCTTCTGCTCCACCTTGCTGTTCTCTTGTCCTAATAATTGTGCTGCCCTTTTTTTTTACATTTTTGAAAATTTCTTTAACCTCTGGCTTAATAGAAGACAGTTGCATTCTAATATCTTCTAATATCTGCTTCTGCATCTGGTGTGTGGGGATGACTCATGTCATTTCACTTCAGCTCCACCGTGTGCTCTTGAGGGTGAGGAGTGAGCAGGCCGGGAATGTATCCTTGTCATGATGGCAGTAGTTCTGACTCACATCAGGCATCTTCTCTGTTCACACTTTGAGAGTCACGGCTGATGAGTGCTGTTGACATTTTGGTGTGTCATCTTTCAGACTTAAAGTGAGAAATAGTTCACTGTACAATACCATACACATGCACATTCTTATTTTAGAGACCTTTCTGTATCATTAGGGATAGATTTGCCTCATTCTTTTTTATTGCACTGTATTTTATTATATTTTCAGCTATTATTTGTGTACTAAATGTTGAACAGTAATAGTCTAATGAAATATAGTTGGAGATGGGGTTAGTGGCCTTATTTTAAAAAGACTTAGATTGGTGACATGATTTTGTAAACACGGGAGTGATTGATCTGGGTTATGGAGAGATGAATAAATGTTTTAAGATTAATGTTTCAGTATTATATGAATGAATCAGAAGAGGAGAAACCATAGCGAAGGAGATCATTTAGAAAATCATTGTAATTGTTTAGATTTGAGCAGCTGAATGCTTAGGCGTGGGTAATGGTCGAGGGATTCCCAAGGCAGGTAGGGAGGTGAAGGGCGATGCAGGAGGGGAAATGGCAGATGTGAGGACAGACGGGCTGTGGAAGCAGGAGGTACAGCTCAGGGTAGCTGGGACCGCAGAGCTAGGTCTCCAGGTGATGGTGGTGCCTTGACAGAAACACACAGGAAGGAGAGCTTGGTTTTGGAGGATAGATAAGCTTTCTGGCTTCAATTTCTTTAGGACCCTTCTAGCTCTAGATTATTCATTTTATGGCCTGTTTACTCTTAAATTGTGCATTTAATAGCATGTGCTTTATGAGTGCCACACAGTGATCATTTTGGAGTGTTGCAGGTCTCAAATTATTGCATAAAAATTGTACTTCCTGTACCTGCCTCACACTTCTCTTCTGCTCTTACACTTAAAAACACCAAATAGAGAAGGTTTTGGAAAATTGAACTTGTATTGCCTTTTGTGTTTGGTAATAAATATACTTATGTTAAAGGACATGTCTATTAGAATGACCTGTGTAGGGATTTCTTTCATTGCTAACTGACAGGTGTGCAGATTTAATGTTGTGTGACTCTAATAGAACATGCTCATTACCGTTCGCTTTGATCACACAGATGCAGGACAGCTGGAGTGCACATCGATGAATCGCTGTTCCCTGCAGCTAATCCCAATGAGCACCTACCAAGCCTAATGAAAAAAAAAGTAAGTACGGGACTTCAGTGTGGACTCTGGCAGTCATCAATTTATTCATTTTTTTCTTCCTAGAAAATAAAACTTATAGAAGTATATTCAAGATTTGTCTTAATATTGCTATTGATCGTATTATTCTTCTCACACAGCATTTTTTAATGAGTTACAGAGCTTACTTTATCCCATGAATGCTTTGATGTAGTTTGTGATAAATGGAAGAGACTGTTTGCCCAAAGGAGAACTAAAAGTTGCCAGGAAACTAGCGCCCTTTCAGGTGCTCTGGTAACTACTCAAGGATTCAGGTTCTTAACATCTGTAGTAAAATACATTTGATCTGTTTGGCTGGAAAATCTCAAAAGTCTGAGGCAGAAATAGCTAAGTGTACACAGTTATTTATTACAGAAAATCTGTGCAAATATAAAGATGCTGCTTTCCTTTGAGGTCTGGTTCACGTTTGAACCACAACCCTTTTGGTTTTTTATCATTTAAAAGTTTTAATTGATTTCTGTATCTGAGGGTAAACTGTTCACTGTGACATCAGTCACTTCGTTGTCACGTGAGAATCCCTGTTGGAGAGAAGATTTACAGACTTTCTCCACTGAGTGAGGCAGAGGAGGGCTGTAGACTAGGGAAGACATTCCCGTGGATGTCTCCAAGTTTTCTGAAATAGCAAATCCTGTGTCTCCATCACATTTCATCTCAGACAAGCTGGAATGCACCCGTGCAGTGATGGAAACTCACTTGTCTCCATCCAGATTGTGTCGGACGGTAGTGAAATGGAGCGTCTCATGACTCTGTGATAGACCAGCAGCAGCTGGTAGTACGTTGAGTGAACACAGATCAGACATATCGCTCCTAATTTCCCTTCCCTCAAAATAAGCACTTTTCAGTTTGACTTGGGTCCTTGCTGATCAGATGGTCTTCAGTACATGTGCTTTGAGTGAACGAGGTTCTACTATGTTACGTGTACTATTTGGTGGGTTGCTTTTTATTCTTCACTTAACCGTGTTTTCGTGTCAGTGTGTGTACGTGGCTCCACTTCCTTCTGCTTTGTGTCAGACAGCGTGAACGTGTCTTGGATTCATGCACCCTTAGATAATGGACGAGTTTTACTAAGTATGTTGTTTGTGTGATGTATTTGAGCTTATTTCTCCAAGCGGAATATCTGGAAAGGGACTTACAGTTCCACCGGCAGTGTACAAGGGTACTTTTTCTTAACACTGACCAATGCTGGATGTTATTCATCTTTTAAATTTTTCCTAATCTGAAGCATTAATAATGTCTGCTCGTACCCTTCACCACTTAAGGTTTTATTAGTCCCTACAAGCATTCCCTTTCCTTCCTTTCTCCAGATGCAGTTGCAGATTAAACCTGACTCCAGACCTTATTCTTTTGGTCTTTGGGGAGGGTCTCTGCTTTGCTCCCCTTACTCTGCTGCCAGCCTGACCCTCTTGCTTGCTGTTCTTCAAACATACCACGTTTGTTTGTCTCTTAGAGCCATTACATTGCCTGTCCCTCTGTCTGGAACACACTTCCCCCCATCCATCCACAGACGGTTCTCTGACTTCCACAGGGCTTTGTACTGCTGGTCCTTTCTCACTAAGCGGCGGCTCACTCCCCTGTCTACAGTGGTAGGTCCTCCACCATGCCAGCCGTCCTAAGCCCCTGGCCTGCTTTTTCCTTATTATAGTACTTGCCCGTTGCTAACATACTGCAGAAGTGCGGGCAGCCAGACTCTCGCGAAGACCCCAGAACCCCGCGTGGCAGTGCTCCCGAGTCCACAGAGCGCATGCTGGTCCCCTGCCCCTGTTCTGACTGCATTACCTCTGCCAGCGACGGGGCCCTCCCACTGGTAATGGGCAGTGTGGACGAGCTTTGGGGGTAAAAACGCCCCGAGCACCAGGGGCCCATAGTTAGAAAGCAACACTGTTAATTAGTGCCTTGCATGCTGTCCAGGTACTTTGGCAAAAACAGTTCAGGCCAGCTCCAGGCCTGCTGGAACTAATCCTCCTGACACACACACACACGATGTAGTTTACTTATTTGTTATGTGTATTTTCTGTCACTCCTTCATAGAGTATAAGCTCCCTGATGCAGGGATCTTTCTTTGTTTCAAGACCAGTGACTGACACACGATAACATTTTTGTTAAATGATGAATGAGTGCATTACTAACAGATAGAGCAGGGTGCTGAACAAGAGCACAGTGTAGCAGCAGCCTTGAATGGCTAAGAAGTTCTTCCTTTAGACCGGGACGCACGTGAACACACTTGGGCTGGACGCCTAAAGAGGCCTGGACAGAAGACACGCTTCCCTAGCGTCCTTCAGAGACCCTCGGGTGTAGGAGTAACTGTAGGTGAAGTCGGTGTCAAGCTCAGCTTTTGTATTTACGGTGGAGACCTGCCCAAATGGGCTCTTCCGTAGGGGACCTGGGGGCCTGTGGTGTAAGAAGTGCTAGGAGACATGAGGACGGTAGGGTGAGACGGTGACCCGGACATCACGTGTCCGAGGTTTCCTCATTC